CCAGTTGGTTCATATGGCACAAACAAATCTATTGCTTTTCTTGTTTTTAAATAAGTTTAATCTTGATACTAAATATTACATGCTCTAAACTCACATTGGTCTTTGAATTCTCTGCTATGAAACTGACTGATCCTGATTTGAACTTGCTATTGTGAACAGGAGAAGAAGAAGCAGTACTATACTTGTATCTGGACTTGTTCCCTCGCAGGTGACATAAAGTGAAAGTAAAAAACATAGATCAATTTTGTTGCCTTTTGCTGCTTTTATGTAAAAATCAAATGCTCAAAGTAAAAATACCTTGTTTCTGAGTGGAGTTTGCATGTTATCCGCCTGTCTGCGTCGGTTTCCTCCGGGTGCTCCGGTTTCCCTATACCACTGAAAACATGCACAATAGCTCTGAATGTAAAGAGTGAGTGAATGGATGGTGTTTGGTCGGAGGCTTTTATGGACCGGTGTGTTTGGTGTCTCGCTTCTGTCATCATCGTGTGGAGAGAATTGAAAAATATTCGAACTCTGTCTGTAAAGCGCTTTGGGTGACCTTGGACTGTAAAATGCGCCGTATGAATAAATATTACATACTTACTTTTGACTTTAAAATTGTGATAGATGTGTAGTTCTTATAATAAAACATTTAAAGGTGGTTGACTGGGCCAAACCTTGCAATGACCCTGATTTGTTAGCACTCTCACTTCTTAGCAACAAGGTCCTGCGTTCGAATCTCAACCAGAAATCTCTGTGTTTATCAAATTAAACAGTATGATTGAAACATTGCATTGGTTTAGGATAACACAGAGAATATCTGGCTGCACGCATTTTTACACGATATTCCTCCCTTTCAAGGTCAAGGCAAACAATTCTTCTCATTTGTTCACAGCTCATCTAATATATTCAAAAACAATACAGTCGTAATATGTCTTTTCATTAAGTTAACAGGGGCAAACAAATCAAAGCCCGCAGCATAAGATGTTTCGCAGCTTGTCACATCTGTTCCTCAGTAAAACGTGCTGGCTTTTGTCTTTATGCTAATCTTACAGCCAGACACAAAATAGTTTCCAGAGGATGAAGAGCCAGGAAGGAGGCAGGATCAAGTGACTCCTCGCCGAGACGCAAAAATAGAACAAGGACAAACAGATCTTTTGGAGTTGTGAAGGCTTTAAAGTTGCTCAGTCATTATGCATCATGAGCCCGGTGCTGCTAATGTCTATGGAGAGGGGAAACCATTGAAAGTCACCACTGATGTTGGGATTGAAACGGCAAAGATAATGACCAATCGAGTGAAAATACAGACGACTAATGACAGTGAGTATTTTGTATTCACCACTCAGTTATAATCTCAGAGTGTATTTCACGGGGAATCGGCCTGACATCACCATATATTTGGTTTTGTCTATAGCTAACTTTGGAAGAGGCCCTTGCTTTACATTAATGCTTTGTTAATTGCTTATGTTATGTTGTTTGATTGCATGAAGGTTTTAATGGATTATATGTGATTTTATTGTAAAGCACTTTGGTCACCTTGAGTGTTGCAAGAGGCTTTATGACAACATTGATAACATTTGATTGATTGCTTTTATAGTAAGGCTGTATATGCAGTACATTTGAAATTGAAAAATAGATCTGATATTTTAGAGAAAATTAAATGTACCACCCACAGACAGTAAATATTAACAGACGCAGTCACGTCTATCTCCTGTGTTGAAACTAATGTACCACCACTTTTGCCTTCTGTTGGATTTTTCTAAAGGGCCACGGGGCAGACAAATGTGAAAAAAACGCATTTGCGCATGCGTCAGCTGCACTAGCCTCATTCATTTAACAAGTACCTTTTGAAGTGCACTGCGGGTAAACTTAGACTGGTCCAAAAATAATACTCCCCTCAGCATCGACAACATCTGGAACGTAGTTTTGGACCAAGAGCGACTTTTGGACCATCCTGTAAAGCCGTTTTCAAGAGGAAAGAAGACGCCATACAAAACCATTGGGTAATTCTCTTTCCGGGTACACCCCCACCGGTCTGGAGTGAGATTGCAGCCTGTCAGCAAACGTGCTCAATGCTCATGGATTTTTTGGAGCCCCCATGGTACCACCGCACAGCCTCAGTCCTGGATCGACAGCCGGTCTAGAGCACATCCCTCGCTTTAAATATGGGACTCCCAGTGGTTTCCCAATATCTTTCCATTGTTTGTTTTTTTTACATTTAAAAACATTTATAGGTTTTGATCATAGCGAAGTCATCACAGCCTCATATAAATACCATAAAAAATCGACTAAAGAGGTCGGTAGGTGGAAAATAACCCAAACACTGCTAAACACTACTGAAAATATGCATATGTTGTTATATGTTGCTATCAAGTGAATGTTATGATCGACAGCACATGTCCTGGAAAGATATCTTTAAGCTATAATCATACACAAATTAAGCAATGATTATTTCAATAATGATCAAGGCTTCCAGTGAGATCTGTAGTTTTAACACACCAAACCCATTTTTTTTATTTTTCTAACAAATATGATATGAATATATGTCTAGTATTTCCCACACATCCCAGTAGTAGGTGCACAATATGTAAAACAAATTAAAAGTCTGCACAGCTATGTAGCTCCCAACTGTATTTATTTACAGAGCACCACACATGGGAGTTACATGGCTGTGCAGACTTTTTTCTTCATTTTACCAAATATTTTCTTTTAAACTCTTAATTACAGACTGTTAACGTAAGAAGCGGCACATAAAAAGTCACATTTACCAACTGTCAGTTGTTAGCTAATTGAAACCACTAAACACTGGTAAGGTCGTTTGGAGGTGATAAACATTAAGTGTTTTCAAACTGGTCTCTTGTGGGAACCGTCGGAGCACACTTAAAAACACACACATTTTCTCTGCAGGTTTTAATTAAAATCTTGAGTGACAGCGTGGCCCATTTCTGCCGCGGCGCTTTCAAAATGAGACGCAGATAAGGTGTGTGTTTAGAGGGCCTTATCAAACTCATCTCTTTACTGCTGGCTAATTTCTCCTTTTCTTGTCGTACACGAGGAGAGAAGAGAGAAAGACGATCCTCGAGGTTTTCAGTCTCCCAAAGAGCAGCTACCTCAGTATCTGCTCAGTATCTTAGACAGACAGAGAAAAGTGGTCTGTGTGGATCTGTTACCTCAAAGAACCTCTGTTTGCAATGAGACCGACGTGGAGCGGGCGTCAAATCTACGGCAAACCCAGAACCAGTTATTATTATATATTGCTTTGGCCAGAGGTTCCTTAATGGTTTGGTCTTCATCTTTAGCTCCTTGGAGTCAAGACATGTGACAAAGATATTCACCTGATTGCCATGTGACAGTTGTTTTGTTATTTACACACACAAAGCTGTTTTTGGATGCATACCCGCCACCATTGCTCTCCCCTCAGTCCTCTGACCATCACACAGAGTCCCTCCTCAATGTTTTACCTACTTTCATCTGATTTTGATATTTCTGATAATGTGATTCAACCGTTTCCATTTTTGCTCAAATGTAAGAAATATAATCGTATTGCAACTACGCATGTTTCACGGTTACTCCTTCAAAGGGGCGGGGCTTAGCGGTAAAAGGAGATTGACCTTCCAGAGTCGTAAGGATATTTATGCACGTTTATTAACATTCATGGACATTGATCATACCGCTCCCTCTGGACCAATGGCTGCTGTATTGATTTAGGGCCATAAACAAATTAATTGCATTGACTTGAAGGAGGAAACTAAGTGACTCGTTTTTTCTATAAGATTGATCTAAACATATGAACCATAATATTATATCTTACATGATCTTTATTAAGATGTCAATATAAGATCGTAATCTTGTATTGACTAAAGAGAAACAGGGGTCATAGATATTTTAGAGAACAGGTTATGTCCCCTTTCAACCTTTGTTATTCATCTTTTTGCTGTAAACCTGTTTCTACTCCCGTTTGTTTTAGCTTCTGTGTATAGAAATGTTACTTCCTAATTGAGTTTGTTCATTTAAAATGGACGGAACTAAGAACATAGTTTTATTAACATGCATAAGACATCTTGCCATAGACTGATTTACATACCTGGTTCGAGCACAAAACACACAGAATGAGCCAATATATCAGAATCTTTTCTTGGCTCATTCTAAGCCAAGAAAAGTTCTTCTGTTGGCAGTCTGACGGTCAGTCTGATGCTTAATTCAATTTTATTTATTTTTGTTTAGCCCTAAATCACAACAGTAGTTATCTCAGAGGACTTAACAAAACCGTTGAATTTGCCAACACAGATCAGAGAATCAAACAAAACAAACACAAGAAAAAAGAATGGTAAAAAGCACACTTGAAGTTTTTGCCGTAGACAAATTCTCTGCTGGCCTCTTTTCACAACCAAGTCTGTGTTATTGTCTTTTTTACAGTTGGGAATCTCATAAGTTTGACTGAGTCGGCAAATTCCACATTCTCTCCATTTGTGATTCTGGCCTAGTGCTTGTTTGTTTGTTTATTTTTATTCAGATCCCCTTTAGCTACTGAAATATACAATAGCTATTCTTCCTGGGGTCTGTATACTCATCAATGCCTCAAGAATGAATGTACAAACAAAAAATATGCTTAAACAAAAGTGCATAGTAACCACACACACAGACACACACACACAACCATATTACTGTATTAGCAGCAGCAAAAATAAACAATAATCACATTTCTCAATCTCTAAGCGCTTATTCCTGAAGTCAACTTTAGTTCTAGACACAATGCAATCCAGGTGATCACCCCCCACTGTAGTTTGGGGGGTGTAGAATGACCTGCAGCTTCTGTATCACACTTTCGAGTTTTACCTTTTTTTCATCCAACCGTAACAAATCCCACGGGAGAGAAACATTTACCACCACTCCACGTCCATCACCTCCGAGCGACCTCAGCTTTGCCGTGTGCCAATTCCCATTCAGCGAGTGTTTGACAGCCCGCGAATGGGGTCCGCATCTGTAAGTAAGCTAGCTGGAAGAGCAGGTGACGCGGCCCCATGTCTTTCCCGCTAATCAACCGCATCGCCGCCACCGATAAGGACACTCTTGTTGTCACGCAGGGGAAAAGAAGTGTCCGCCATTTTGTCCGAGAGGCCGAGATAGTATACAGGGGCCCCGAGAAGGGGAAAAAAACGATGTCAGAGGCATGTGATAAGCTTGTGAGTGAGTGAGGAGCCAGGGCGAGAACAATTGGAACAGAGACTGATAACATGGAGAGGGGGTAAAATGTGATTATGACTCATCATCAGTTGTTACCCAGAATTCTTAGCGATGGCGGCGGACATTGATTTCAGTGGCGAGCGGTGGATCAGACGGATGACAGGAAACAAAAGCCCCATCTTCATCGGGTTTAATGAGGTGGTCAAAGCAAAGAGACGCTGGTTCTTTGTGTGGACTAAGCCAAACTGCCTGATGCTCAAGGTTTGGCCGATAATTAGAGCTTTTGTTTATTGAAAAGAGTATTTCAGAGCGGATGGTTATAAATAACAAACCAAAGGCCCAGATTGTTGTGTTGTAGGCACATTGTGGGATCCTGGGAACAAGTCCAATGTTCCAGGATCACAGGATTTCATAAGAAGATAAAGGCAGCTTGTGGAGGTCTAATTAGTTGGCATTTTAGCTTTACCAGACTCATCCATATCCATAAAGAAACATCTTGTGTACCCCTGATATCATACTGTAGCCACCCTACCACCCACACACACACACACACACACACACACACACACACAAACACACAAACACACAAACACACAAACACACACACACACACACACACACACACAAACACACACACACACACACACACACTTGTATTACGCCATGAAGGTGAAGTCTTGCCAGCCCCACTGTAATAATAATAATAATAATTAATTAGTTTCATATTGTGCTTTTTAGGACACAGGATGCTTTAAATGTCACTCTTCTTTCATTCCACAAGCGACAGTTTAGCACCTCGTTTTCCCAGAGGTCTCCAATCACAAAACTAACATTGTCCTACCCCGCTTAACTTCCTATGTAAGCCACGATGAGGCCTTCACGTGCAAGTGGCATCACCAAACAAGAAACATGTCACGCCCCCATCTGTCACTAGTCTTCACAGCCTCTTGCTCCTCCCTGTGTGTGTGTGTGTGTGTGTGTGTGTGTGTGTGTGTGTGTGTGTGTGTGTGTGTGTGTGTGTGTGTGTGTGTGTGTGTGTGTGTGTGTGTGTGTGTGTGTGTGTGTGTGTGTGCACTTGTTTTCAACTCCTGGTGGGTTCCATAACCTGAGATTCCACTCACGTCATGGGGACTGGTTTTACGTGGTGGGGCCCGAACACCGGACCCCACTGGTCCAAGCTTAATAATCAATGGGTAATGCTTTTCTAACGGTCCTTATGCAGTCTCTGTAAAAATATGGAAAGGACCCCTGGAGGTTTACTTTCCTGAAAAAAGTGTGTTATGTGTCGGAACCCTGGTGGTGGGTTGCGGGATATCAAGGAGGGGCACACTGGGGCAATTTCAGTCCAGCAGGCTGGAGCCAATCATGGAGCAGCACAACAGAGGAAATCAGGTGTCAGGCTAGAAAAAGGTGCAAGTGTGTGGTTCATTAGGCTGCAAGAAATCATGGAGGAGCACACTGAAGCGCACGCTTACAAACCACTGGTAAGTGCTGACTACAAGTCATGACTTCAAATTGTTATATAGAATGATTACAAATTATTTGTTGTTTGTGCAGCTTAGTCAAGAGTCCCTAATTGATGAAGTCGACTCAGATTCTGACGATTTAACTGTCAAGAAGAAACCTGTAAAAAAGTATGGAAAAAGAAAAATCAAAAACACTTTTCTTCAAGACTCGGAAAGTGACGAACCAAAGGCAAATAAGATTGTTATCATGCAGCTGCAAAAGAAGAAAAATGGGGGGCGAGTTTACAGCAAGAGACACTTCTGCCTCTACTGTTCAATGTCCTGCCACAAAATGTCCCGTCATTTGACTAGAAAACATGGAAATGAAAGTGACGTAGCCAGAGCATTGGCTCTACCTGTGAAATCTAAAGCACGTAAACTTCAGTTTGATTTGATCAGGAATAGTGGAAACCGTGAGCACAATTTTGAGGTTTTAAAGGCCGGCATTGGAACTTTAGTCCCAGCTAAACAGCCAAATTCCCCAGTTAAATCCAGTGAGTTTTTGCACTGTATAGACTGTGGGGCATTGCTTAAGCGAAAGTCGCTGTGGAGGCATGTGGCCAGGTGCCGGCTTTCACAGAAAGATGCCCAGGCTAAACCAGGTAGAAGTAGGGTCCAGTCCCTCTGCTCCCTAGCCCAGCCTGTACCGGAGGGCATCAGCAAAAAGCTGTGGTCTTTAATTTCGGCAATGCATCAGGATGAGGTCACGGGTGTTGTCAAAGCAGAAAAGGGGATTCTGAGACTCGGAGAGCACCTGTACTTAAAACACGGGCATGATAAGACTAAGCATGATTACATTAGGCAGAAAATGAGAGAAGTCGGTAGGTTAATTAATGAAGCAAAAACCGCAGGGAAACTGAAAACAATTAAGGATTTCTTTATTCCTTCCAACTTTAACCATGTGATTGATGCAGTCAGGTCTGTGGCTGGATATGATGAGGAAACAAATCAATACAAGACTCCATCCTTGGCCCTCAAACTCGGCCATAGCCTCAGAAAGCTAGCAGATATTCTTGAATGTGACTCAAAAATGGAGCATTGTGTTGATGAACTATTTATTAAAAACCTCCAACGAAGCCGGCTGCTTTTTGAGAAGAGGTGGGACGTCTGTGTTTCTTCTGCTGCCCTACAGACCCTCCGGCAAGCCAAGTGGAACACTCCGGACCTGCTCCCTCTGACTGAGGACGTTAGAGCCATGCATGCACATATTGAGGTATGTCGACCTGAATATGTGCAAACCCTAATAAGTGAGCCAACGTCTAAGCATTGGTCTAAACTGGCAGTTTTGACTCTTTGTGAGGTCATCATTTTCAATCGAAGAAGGGAAGGTGAGGTTTCAAAGATGCCACTGACAGCCTTTACCTTAAGAAGTAAGACTGGGATCCATTCTGACATTGCTCTGGGACTGTCCCAACTTGAGAAAAAGCTGTGTCAGCATTTTCAACGCATTGAAATTAAAGGGAAAAGAAGTCGGAAAGTGCCGGTTCTTTTGACTCCTGAAATGATTGCTTCGATGGAGGTGCTGGTGGAGAACAGAAGGGCCTGTTCCATCTCTGACCATAACCCATACTTCTTTTCCCGCCCGGGCGCAGACACCCACATCAGGGGATCAGACTCCCTACGCCAGGTAGCCAAAGAATGTGGTGCGGTGCATCCAGAGATGCTATCCTCAACCAAACTTAGAAAGCACATAGCTACTATGTCTACAGTTCTCAATATGAAAGAGAATGAGATGGACATACTTGCCAACTTCCTCGGCCATGACATTCGCATCCACAGGCAATATTACAGACTACCAGAGGGGACACTGGAGCTGGCCAAAATCAGCAAAGTGTTGATGGCCATGGAGCAGGGAAGAGTGACGGAATTCGAAGGAAAGAGCCTCGACCAGATACAAATTGAGCCTGAAGGTAATTCTTGATATTATTAAAATATGTATGATTTTTTACCCCTAAAGGCCACTTGTATTTTTATTTTCTGTGCGACAGGGAGAGCAGTAGAGATCCTCTCACAAACGGACGGGCTAAAAGAAACTTCAAGCGGAGAACCTTCAACCATTCATCCAGATGCACCCCATGGTAGTGGCAGTGCCCCTTCTGGTAAGTGTACCAGGTGGGGGATTACAGCCAGGCTGCTTGGTCCTCACCCTGGGAGTGTATATTGCTAATATATTTTTATTTCTCTCCCTAGAACGTGTAAGAAAGCCATGGTCTGCATCTGAGGTGAAGGCTGTGGAGAAGACCATGACACCTTTCATACAGACTGGAAAGGTCCCTGGGAAGTCTCACTGCCTGGCCTGCATTAATGCCTCACCAGATGACCTTAGACATCGGACATGGAGTGGCATTAAATTCTATGTCAAAAATAGAATCACTGCAATTCGAAAACAAAATCTAAAATAAAATTCCTTTAAAATAGTTGTTTGGTTTCTATTGACTGTTTTGTATTACTTAAAGTCTTGGTAAAAAAAGATTATGTCTATGGGTCCCATTCTGAACGGCCCTGTCAAAGGGACCCACCAGGTAACAAAAACGTGTATGTGTATGTGTGTGTGTGTGTGTGTGTGTGTGTGTGTGTGTGTGTGTGTGTGTGTGTGTGTGTGTGTGTGTGTGTGTGTGTGTGTGTGTGTGTGTGTGTGTGTGTGTGTGTGTGTGTGTGTGTGTGTGTGTGTGTGTGTGTGTGTGTGTGTGTGTACCTGGGGACCTGGGTGAAGTCTGGAGCTGCTCACCTGCTCTCACTTCAACAATCAAGCAGCCTACATCCAGCCAGCTCTCCAGACAGACTCTGCCAGATTGTTTCGTCTCAATCACGGTGATTTTTCAGTCGGCTACTTTTTGATATACTGTTGATACTTACCCCTTTTGTTATACTCACCTTTTTGTCTCCTGTGTTCCTACTGTAGCTCCTGGGCTAGGACTAGTGGCAGCCATTCCTAATCACCTCCGGAACAACGCAATAAACCTTTCGCTTTTGTATTTCTGTTTTAGTCTGTTTATTGGGTCCTATCGCCAAGCCGTAACAAAACATGCAATAATAATGACGATTTATTACAAAAAATATCATGACAAGCAGTAAACATGAGCTAAAAAACAGATCTTCGTAGCTCCATCTATTTCACAAATGGAACGGAGCGTTCTGTGAGGGGGGGGGGGGTCTATTTGTGACTGTTTATTTGTATTTGCATAGGTTAATAGTGTTATATTATTTCGAATGCGACGGAATTGAAGTAATTGCCAAAAACATGCGCTGGTGTAGAATGAAACCTGTAATCAAAGCATCACAACATTGTCATTGTGTCCACATTACCGTAGTCACATATTTATTCTTTCAAAAATTGCTTCCTCTAAAGTCTCGGTCCCAGCTGGGGTCGCTTTCAAATCCAACTCCACAAACACAGAACAAAAGTGTGTGATTCTGAGGAAACTCTCCATTCCGCTGGAGATTTCACAGTTTACTGCTCAGGGTTTGAAGTTAAACATTCAAAGTGACATTACATTAAAGGCTTGAACAATGTGGCTCACTGTTTACTGCTGATAAGACGTTTACTCCGAGGGACGCACTTTCTGTCAAAACATATTCAACATCATGATCAAAATATTACATTGGGGTCATTTCAGCTTTGGATCTGTGCATCTGCTGCTCTGGGAGTGAAGGTACCGATGAGGACAAAGTTTAGATCATATCTTTTTTTTTATCTTGGAAGCAAGGCACGTTTATATGTATAGCACAGTTTATACACCTGTCAAACGTGATCACAGCACATTACGAGAAGAAATAGTGTCCTTCAGTTGAGGCGACAGTGGGTCCGTTGGTAGAGCATTGGTCTATGAGCCTGAAGGTTTCGGGTTCGAGGCCACCCTGAGACCTTCTCCACCAACTTCACTGATGTCTGCTATCATTGTTTATATGGGCGGCACGGTGGATAGAAGTGGATAGTGAAAGTAGTTTACAAATGAAACAGTATTTAAGTCGGGAAAATTTGATGACTTTTGTTGCATTGAGATTATGTTCCTTATTTGTGTTTTTGTTTTGTTTTATCGCTTTTCCTTTTCTTTTAATGGAAATGAAGCGGAAGTTAAGTTATATACTGTGACGTAGAAATGGACAACAGGGGTGGGATTCAATAAGTTTTCTTCTTCCCGCTCCTTTTCGAGCCAAATCTTTTCTAAGGCTATATCCACACGAAGACAAAACGCTTATAATTTCAGAAACTTTTTCTGTAAACACGGAGTTAGCTCAGTAAATGTGTGCGTCCATATGAATGTAGTCAATACGCCTGAAAACGCTGTGAAACTATGCCAGACCTGTTGGTGGCGCTGTGACGCAATGACGGGATCAAGCCCAAACTTCCGTGACGGGAACTGGGCATGCGCAGAATTTTGTAAACAGACAACATGGCGAGTGGGCGAGCTGGTACTACATTAGTATGGGCGGACGATGAGGTTGAACTGTTGCTTCGGGTCACACTGGATTACAAAACCAACAAGCTATAAGAAAGTGTAGACTGGGACATTGTTGTTGTCATTATTTTCTGAGTGCGGCGCATGCGTGCTTTAACAAGAGGCGGGGCGATGACGCAAGCGTCTCAGATACATTGCGGAGAGGCAGTAACCACGGAGCGGCATATACGGAGTTTTGAAATCTTTCCACTCTGGGACCTAGTTTCAAAAATGTTCGTTTACACCCCCCCAAAACGCCGGCCTCGTATGGACGATACACTGGATTGATAAAGTATTTTTGCGTTTAGGCCTGAGCTTGACTTCGTGTGGACAGGGCCTAATTCTTGTACAGCTGTTACATTTGTTATTTTTTTTTCTTGTGATCTGCTCGAAATGAATCAATAAATGAAATGAATAAATGAACTCTCGCTTCTCAGCAAGAAGGTCCTGGTCCTGGGTTCAAATCCTGGTCGATACAAGGCCTTTCTGAGTGCTGTTTGCATGTTCTCCCTGTGTTTGCATAGGTTTCCTCCAGTTTCCCCTACCATGCACAATAGGTCTGGCATGCGCCTCCTGCACTGGCCCCGCTCCCATCTCTATGTAGAGTGAAAGACAAATGCCCACAATTAAAA